CATGTGCAACAATTGAAGTGGCCTTGTAGTTGATACCATATTCTTTGGTATGAAAGTTGATTTGGCTTGTTTCCCTTTTTGACATGCATCATATTATTTATCTTTGGTAAACCAATAATAAGATCATGTTTGACTAGTTTGTTTAAATGTTACATATGAATATGGGCTACTCTTTTATGCCAAAGCCACGAGTCATTGTTGCTTACCATAAGACAATTTACTTTCAATGATAAATCATCTAAAGAATTCATGAAAATATTATTAACTCTTTTACCTTTGATTTTTACCTCGTGAGTGGTCTCGCATTCAATCAAGCGTTCATCCTTGGTGAACTTAATTTTGAAGCCTTTGTCACAAAGTTGGCTTATGCTTAGAAGGTTGTGCTTTAGTCCTTCAACATGAAGTACGACTTCAATGGGTGTGAAAGGTGGTGCACCAACTTGGCCTATGCCAAGAAACTTTCCTTTGTTGTTGTCTTTATATGTGACATATCTCTTGACTTTTAGGACTAGAGATGAAAATTTGTTTATATCTCCCGTAATATGCTTAGAACAACCATTATCAAGATAACATAGATTTGTAGTGGTCTTCAAGAAAACCTACAAAACAAATTAAGGTTTGTTAGGTACATAACATGCCTTGGGTCCTTCATAATTAGTTCTTTTCTTGATCCACACATAATTCCCACTAGCAACACTAAAGTTCCTTATATATCAAACATTAGGTGTGTGATAAGTTATACCATAATAGAAACATATAGGAACAAATTACGTATATATCTTGGGACATGAGATTTTTTCTTAACAGATCTTTTCTTAGGATGATGATGAAAATTTTGTACTTTATTCACTTTCTCCTTGTTGGATTGGTCACTTGCATCGACAAAGATAGTTTTATGAGTACTAGGTTTATCAAATTTAGAATAACCAAGTCCAATTTTGTCATTAGAATATCTTTGTTGACTAAGAACACCATCCAATCCAATTTTCTCCTTTTCATATCTTTCAAGAACTCTTTTTAATCGGACAATTTGGAAAGAAAGTGACTCACACTTTTTGCATATAAAATTATGTCTTTCTTTTTCAAAATAATCATTTTTTTCAACTTCAAAATCTTTTTGCATGGTGTCAATCTTTTCTTCAAGAGATGAAATTTGTTTCTTTTGTGTTGACACCATTTTGTACAAAATTGTACATTCATTTAGTAGTTCATGTATTTCTCATTGAGCATCATTATCATAAGAAAAAATTTCATTACTAACCTCTTCTTCTTCATCATTAGAATGGCGTGATGCCATCAACGCAAGATTTACATATTTCCTATTTTCTGAATCAAATGATGAACTCACTTCATTATCATCCCATGCAATTAGGCCTTTTTTAATTTTGACTCTTTCATTCCTTTGGAACCATTTTTCTTGGTGACTTTTGGAAAATTCGTCCCTATGTGTCATTGCTTTCCACATTCATAGCAAGTGAAATTTTGTGTTGACATAGAGGCTTTTTTTTTTCCTGAAAAATTTCTTTTTTATTGCAAAGTTCAAAGTTTTATCATTATTACCAAAAAAACTTACCAAGCCTTTTCACAATGAGCATGAAGTTTTCATCTTCATCCGGAGCATCTTCTTCTTGTTCTTCCATTGAGTCAACTTTCAAAGTAATGCCTTTGAATTTCTTCTATTAAATCTCATGCTTTTCTTGTCTCCCGATTTCAATCTCATGCTCTAGAAGTTTTTCGAACAAAGATGTGGATGTCATAGTAGAAATACTCTTCTTTTAAGATGTTATCGTTACCTTTGGTTGCCATTACCTGGTTAAAGACCTAAACACTTTAAGATAAAATTCATCATTAGTAAAAGTCTTACTGAGAGTAATCAAGTGATTGGTCAAGTATACAAATCTCTTTTGCAATGCATGGATTGATTCTTTGGGCTGCATTTTGAATAACTTATACTCTTGACTCAAGGTATTTAATCTTGATATTTTCTCTTCAGCAGTTCCTTCGAGAGTTTCCACTAATGTATCTCATATTTTTTCCCGTAGTGCATTGAGAGACACAAAAGAATTCATTCATGCTAAGTGCACTTTGAAGTAAATTGATTGCTGCATTGTCGTATATGACATTTTTCTTATCATCTTCATCCCATGAACTTTTTATCTTTGTCATCCCAACACCGTTGATAACACTTGTAGGAACAAACATACCATTTTGTACAACATCCCAGATTTCTTCTCATTGTGCTTCTAGATGAGCCTTCATGCAAATTTTCTAAAAATAAAAGTATTCACCATAAAACAACGGAGACTTGTTATTGCTACCATTGTCTCTAAAAACTGGATTGTCGGAAGTCATTCTGAATCTTTTTAGGAATAAGTTACCTTAACCTGCTCTAATGCCAAATGTAAGAATAGAGATCACCTAAGAGGAGGGGGTCTATTAGGTGCTTTGAATTTTTTTGGATTTTAAAGGAGTGTTTCTTTGTTTTACTGGTTTGATGTAAGGTTATGAAAGTAGTAAAGTGCGCAAAAATAAAGAACATGTGAGATTTATACTAGTTCCCCTCACAATCTGAGAGTACATCTAGCCCCTTAACCACTGTAAGAGATTTTACTATTGTTAGAACTTTGTACAGGCCTATACCTAGCTTCTATATATAAGCTTCTAACTAAATCAACAAGGAAACCACCTTGTGATTTTACAATATAGAAAAAGAAAACAACCCTTTCTTTTTCCAACTCTCTTGTTTCTAACAATCCTGGACAACGAGGTACTGATACAAGTATCTCATTATTTGATAAAATATGAGTTTGGAACAGTAAGATAAAATAAATCCTAACTTGTAAAATTTCATCCCTTTCTAGAATTATGGTATATCACAATATATATTTTAAGTGCTCAAGAACTTTCACGTTATTTGATTTATAAAAATAATACACAAGTTCTTGATGAATGAAAATAGCAGATGCAATAAGATATAGTGAAATACTCAGGGAGAAGTTTTTGAAGGAGGTGAATTTGATAAGATAAAATACTTGTCTATTTATATGTTCATTCACACCCTTTTGAATAAGGACATAGCTCTTGATAATTCATGAGAAGGTGTAAATTTATTTTGAAAAGCTACAAAGAAGGAGCCATGAAAAGATACATTCAATGAAAGTATTTTTCTGAAAATTCATGGTGACAATTGATTGTTGGGGATGATCAAACGATTACACCCTTTAATGCGTTAAAAAATTTTGAATTTTAAATACATATTAATACATTGTAAGGTCCATGCAATCGATTGATCTCAATAAAAGATTTCCAAATTTAAATGGTGGCAATCAATTGTTATGGTCATGTAATCGATTACTTGGCTTAAAATTTGATTTTTTTCAAAAGAAAAGTTATGCAAAAAATTTCTAAGTTAAAAAATACAATGCCGTGATTTTGAGATATGACATGGATTGATTAATGAGCACTTAATAGTATATGAATCATGACATACCATATTTTACCATCTTACTTGATCATCCATAACATAGTAATTTGAGATGATTCTTCATACTTTAACATTTGATCATCACTCTTGATTCCCTTAACCAAAACATCTTCATTGAAAGCTTAAATTTACAGTTTCGTTGGGCCTTTGGCCAATCAATAACAGAAACAAAACAAAACGAAACTTACATAATAGTCACACCTTGCTCATTGCATAGAAATCGGAAATCAATGGCCCATCCAAAACCAAACATAAAACAACCAGAGATAAAAAAACCTTGTCAAAAGTTCGTTGAACGCGCCCATAAAATATAAGTAAAAAAGAACTTACTAAAACAACATAGAAACCTCTAAAACACACGTTAGACTTGGGCCGCACAAACTTCAAGTGATCCCAACTAAACCAGGAAAGAGGGGCAAGTCCAATGAAACTTAGGAAAATGTCATAGGAAGTTTAAAAGGTGGTCAATGGCCTCACTAACTGGATGGACTAACGACCACATAAAAGCACAAACAGAGAATGATAATGTCAGACGCGGATTTTGAAGTTCCTATGAAGGCAATAACAACAACCTCAAAATTGTTTTGGAATTAGACAAAAGCGTTTATTGAAAATTCAACATCCAGACTGAAAATAAACTACAGTTAGCATTAACTGTGGTTGAATCCAAAAATAAAAGAACTATGATTTCAAACCTTGTGTAAAAAAACAAAAAACTTTTATATATTTTCAATCGTTAAGGAACTTCATAATAAAACAATAGAGAGACGATCAACGAAGATCACACCAAACTCTATATACCATGTTGAATTTGAGATTGTATAAAAGATAAGAGAAAAATATTATAAATAATGACTATTGAGTTGATATTAAAAATTAAATAGTGAATAAATCATGACAATAATAATTAATATCAAATATGATACTAATATATATTTTAAGATACTTTAAATTAATATAAAAAATATTATAAAATATCTGATCAAACTCTTAAGACTAGTGCTCTTAGTTAAAATTGATAGTTTAACTTATTGATTCTCCTCAAAAATAAATTATTTATTATTACTCTTCAACTTTTTACCTATCATTTTTTATAACCTTAACATGAATGAGTTATTAACAATTTTGTAGGGAAAAGTAATGCATAGAAAACATTTTTCAAAATCTCATAAACAGAATATTATTAAAAGAATCTCCAAATGTCAAAAACCCTTTAATTTAATCTTTAAAGAACCTAACAATCTCATGGTCAAGGTCATATGACAATGAGTAAGAATAATTTAATCTTTAAAGAACCTTACAAAACCCTAAAATCTCAAGGTCACAATGAGTAAGAAAACTTCTTATTAAACAACAATAACATTTGAATACTACAACTGCTCATCACTCATTAAACATCTAATTTCCTCTCAATATAACTCTTCCCATCACATCGACCAAAATAAACTATCACATGGACCTCTTTATTTTTCTCTCATGTTTAATGAATGTATGAGTATAGAAAAAAAATTCCAAATTAAATGCGACTAGGAAGTAGTTGTGGTGGTGGCAATGCCAATGACCCCATCTCCCCAGCAACCTTTCTAAGCATATGTTTCTGAATCTTCCCAGTTGAAGTCTTAGGCAATTCATCTTTAAACACAATTGTTTTAGGAATCATAAAACGCGGCAACTTCCCCCCACAAAACTCCTTCATCTCTTTCTCCGTTGGTATTTCCTTCAATTCATCCTTCAAACTCACAAACGCACACGGTGTCTCCCCCCAAAACTCATCCGGTCTCGCCACCACCGCCGCCTCCTTCACCGCCGGATGCATATACAAAACCGCCTCAACCTCCACACTACTCAGATTCTCTCCACCGCTTATTATCACATCCTTAATCCTATCCTTAATCTCCAAATACCCATCCTCATGCATAACCGCAACATCCCCAGTATAAAACCAACCATTCTCCCTCAAACACTGCGCCGTAGCTTTTTCATCTTTTAAATAACCAAGCATAACACAAGCACCTTTGACAACTATCTCACCAACCGTTACACCGTCGCGCTTCACGCTTTCACCATTAGCTCCCACCACATCGACCTCCGCCACTCGCGCCTTCCTCACTCCCTGTCTCGCCTTCATCCTTGCCTTCTCCACCGCCGATAACCTATCCCAGTCTCTCTTCCACGCACAAGTAATAACCATTCCAATCAACTCCGTCATTCCAAACCCGTGGCTAACGTTAAAACCTAACGCCTCCGCTCGTATGAGAATCGCCGCCGGAGGCGACGATCCTCCTGTCAGTACATTAACAGTATTTTTTAACGGTTCTGATTTATTGTAATTTAACAGAATGTTAAGCACAACCGGTGCAGCACACATGTGTGTTACACCGTGAGTTTCAATCAAACTGTAGATCGTCGGCGCGTCCAGCTTACGCGTGCAGATATTCGTTCCTCCGACAACCGCCATTCCCCATGGATAACTCCATCCGTTAGAATGAAACATCTGTAATGTCCAGAGATAAACCGGTTGATTGGGCACTGACCAGTCAACGAGCGAGTCCAGCGAGACGACGAACGCTGCTCTATGGCAATGCACTACACCTTTCGGAGCGGACGTTGTTCCAGAGGTGTAGTTCAACGTAATCGGATCCCATTCGGAATCCGGTCGGATCCATTTGAAATTCGGATCACCTTTAGCTATAAGATCCTCATATGTGTTGTTAATAACAGATACATTTTTGGGTAACGAAGGAATCTGATGCGGTGCGAGAGTATCGTCCTCAATGAGGACGAGCTCAGGGCGTTGAATATTTGATGGAAACAAATCAAGAGCATTAAGGGTAAGAGTAAGGGAGAGAATATCCACGAATACAAGTTTTGATTCGCTGTGGACGAGGATCACCGAGAGAGACTTATCGTCGAGCCGGAAGTTGAGGTTGTTGAGAATAGCCCCCGACATTGGAACGGCGAACTGAAGTTCATACATGGCGGGAGTGCTGGGGGAGAGAACGGAAACCACGTGGCCTTTTCTGATACCGAGAGATGAAAGTGAGGAAGCGAGTTGAAGACATCGACGGTGGGTTTGGGACCACGTGTAGGAAATGGAATCACCGTACAGAATTGAAATGGAGTCACCGTAGACAATGGCAGCTCTATCTAAGAAGGTGAGTGGGGTAAGAGGGGTTGAGTTGGCTTTGTTTTTGGTTAACTGGTCCATTGAATGTAATTGTAAACTGTTTCTTGTTCTAGTTCTGAAAATTCAGTACAGCAGTGTGTTGTACTGTCCTATAGAGTTATCTTGTTTAAATAACAACAGCTCTGTTCAACTTAGACCAACTCCAATGGGAGTTCTTAGAGTGGGTTTGCCAACATGGCACTTGTTGTTTTTAAGATGGAAACGTTCTTAAATATGCAACGGTTCTTCAATTGTTCTTATATTAAAATATTAATTTTATAATATAAAAACTATAATTTGATATAAAATTTTATTTATTATTTTAATTATCATTTTAATTAAAATTTAAATATTTAAATTATAATTTTAAATAAAATAAATTTAATATAAATAATATTTTTTAAGTAAAGTGGTGGGACCCAATATGAATTCTTTAGAGTTGCACCATTGGAGTGAAAATTGAATGAGTTGCTTTAAAAGAGTGGGTCCCACAAAGAACCTAAAAATGAGTTGCACCATTGGAGATGCTCTTACTACAAATACATTTTTAAATTAATTAACTTTGTCAGCAGATATTCACTTATTTTGTTTTGAGAAGAGCAGTTAAGTTTTTTCTTTATTTGAATCAAAATAATTATACTCACTTTATTATTATAGTTAAGAAGGAATTAGTACTATATTAATTACTTAATTATATTCGTTATGATTATACTACCAAAAATGTTGTTCAAATATGAAATACAAACAAAAAAATATTAGTCAAATATAGTAGTAGGAACATTGGAATGGAAAAGCGCTAGATTTGGTACTATGTTATGTTGATTTTCCAATTATATTTTTTATTCTATAAAAATATCATATATTATACCCGCTTTTTAAAGTGTTGAAGGGATAATAATTTTAAATAAGTTAGATGTTTACCACGTTAGTCAGGAATTGAAATTTATGCTATTTTTTTTTTAAAGAATATATGTCTATTAGTAAGAAAATTTGAAAATAAAAAAAACCTAAGAATAAATTTCAACCATTTATTATTACAGTACAGCTATTTCATGATCTTTATTAAAAAAGAGTTTTTAATTTATCTCTAGAATAATAATATGTGTGCATTTTTATATTTCTTATTTAAATTGTTTAGTACTAAATAATATTATTCATTTTTTAATTCTATATGATCCTGTATTCTTTAGTGAAATGAGCCTTTGAAAAGTTTGAAAAGTGAACATATGATAAAATGAAATGGGTTTTAGACTTTGAAATGTATTTTCAAGGATCAGTTAATTAATTTATAAAAAATGATTAAAATAATTAATTCTAAAAATAAGTATTAAAATATAAATCCTTCTCGTTAACAATTTTAAATTATTAAAATTAAATTTTTTATCCTAACTATTAATATCATCTATTCAGAATTGGAGAAATCAACCAAATCTTAAGTAATTTAAAATGCAGAACTAAAAAAATTGATTTTTAAAATAGAAACTTAAAAGCTAAAAAAAATCAAAATAGGACGCTCAAAATGCATTTAAATCTTAAAATTATTATTTAAAAAAATTTAAGTTATTGCATTTCCTTTTTTATTAAATAAAATGTAAAATTAAATTATTTAAAATATATCTTATAATTAGACATTTATCCATGTAATGCACAAGATCAACACTATATGATTCTATTATAATTATATTTTTTTTAAAAATAGTTTAGAATTTATGGATGCTTATTTACGTTTAAATATTTTAATCAAGTGATAAAAAACTAAAACCTCCAAATTGTACATTTGAATTCCGATAAACCATTTGAAGAAAGATAAAAAAATATATTTATATTTATCTTTTTTATGAATTAATATTTTATGTGTTTTTGGACTTTGACATCATTCTTTTTCTTTAAAATCTTGTTCTCTAAAAAAATTAAATATCAAAACACATTTTGATTCAACATTAAATTTAATATACAATTACTTTTCTAAAAATAAATATTATTTATTATAAAATTATTGAATTACTACCTATTATACTTAGATGAGATGCATGAAGATTTCTTCCTTAAATAGAGGTCAAAGGATCGAACTCAATCCCGCAAAACAAAAATTGTATAAAATTGACAATTAAAAAATATATATATTTGAAATTCATTGAAAAACATAATATATAAAATGAATTCTAGAGAGTATTTGTTATTTTTCACAAACCACTTACAATTTTGTATTTTATCTCTGACGTTAGAATAGTAATGAATTTAGGTTATTATAAGAATAAAGTATATTTTTAATGAAAAATAGAAGGTCAAAAATTAGAATTTTTTTCTATTGTGAAATAAGTTACCCTATAAGAAAAACCTTCTTCAGCTTCATGATGTTGGGAAATGAAATTTCTGTTGCAAAATGTGAATTACACTTTAGAAATATATTTTAATCATTAAATAACATTTCAGATGGTTATCCGTTTTAATATATATTTTTTTTTTAAAGTTGCGTCAAAATAATGTAAATATTTTGTCAGAGATTGCATATGGAGAGAGATTTGAATTTTAAAAAAATTATGTTGTGACGTGAATATTGTTGGGGTTGATTGAAAATAGAAATGTTGAAGAAGTCAAACACCGTTTAGTTTTGTGAATAAAGAGAGAGTACAAGACTATATATATGATACAAGTTCTTTGAAATTGCACATCGCTTAGTTTTGTGAAGGAAGATGCACCAGTCAAAAACACTTTAAGCTTGTATTTGTCTTTCTTTATTCTCTTATACTCTTGTTTTAGAGTGTTGTGAGATGTAGTTAAATATTTATTTTGGAGGGTGAGTGTACTGGGGGCTTGGGTTTGTGAGGGTATATTATATATTTTCAAATAGTGTTATTTTTTGGTTGTCAATTGACAACGGTCGTGGTTTTTCTCCGGTTTTGGAGTTTTCACGTTAATCTCTTGTGTTTTTGTGTTCCTCTTTTTTCTCTATACTTGTTTTTTCCTAACATCTAGTATCAGAGCCTAGTCAGATCCAGGGATAAGTGTTCTTAGTATGCTCTGTGGTTGCAGTTTTGTCTGATCTTCCACATTAGAAAAGAATGGTAGCGTTGTGAAAGAGTTGTTAATCAGCATTCAAAAATTCTATTGTGCAGTTTTGCCTAGAGAAAATTGATGGAAGACTTTTTTTTTTACTTGTGGAAAGTTCAAGTAAAAGATGTGTTGATACAATCAAGATTACACAAGGTGCAAGATTATGTCGGTGGTTGAAGAGCTTCCTACCAACAAGGAAGTTACATCATAAAGTTTCAACCTGGTTTTCGACATGTGAAATTCTTGGAGTGGTTCAGCTTCAAGTGAGATTTATTCTTCATGATAAATTATATGATTATCGGTGATGACAATGTGAATTTCTTGAAGTGGTTTATCTTCAAGTAAAATATATTTTTCACGAGAGATTATGATAGTTTTTAAAACTATGATTGTCGGTGAAGACAATGTGAAAAATCTTGGAGTGATGTAGTTTCAAGTGACTAAACTCTTTATGGTGGATGTTGCGATGAGAATCGGATATCAAGCTATTGTATTAATTTGAATCACAAATCTTTGAAGTTCACCACCGAACTTTGATTTATCCAAAGAAAAGGAAAAAGAACGAATAAAACTCTAATACGCAATGTAACAACAAAGTTAAGAGATCTAAGGTTCGGGGGTTGGTTATACTAAGGGAAGGTATTAACATCCTAAGTATCTGTAGTACTCTACAGAAATCTCTTATTTGTATTTGTGTTATGCTATTATTTTTTATTATTGTTTGGGAAAGACCTAAGGGTTTATTAAGTATGCTCGCCAAGACATCGCATCTCATGCCTACGTATCCTAACTAGGATGGAATTAGAGTATTCGTAACTCACCTAACTACGGGTGAGGAACTCTTGATAGTAATTGAAGCTAGCGGGATTATACCTGAGTGAATCGCACACTCAAAAATACAACAGAGTCGCCATCGATCTTTATTTAGTCCCAAAGTACAGGGAAAATATCGATAAAACCCAAGGGAAGAGAAACGGAAAAGGGGGTCGGTAATGCGAAAGGAAGGTACTGGCACCTTAAGCATCCGTCGTACCCGACAGGAACCATTTCGCTTGCTTATAGGCTTGGATGGGTTATCTATCTAAAGGCTTCTAGCTAAAAAGGAAAGAAAAGAGAGAAAAAGAAAGAGGAAGAAAGAAAGTGCTCGCGGAGGATTGGGACCCTCGTGCCTATGTACCCTCATAGTGCAATGAGGACGTCAAAGCTCCGTAGTTCAAGGAACCAAGGAAAAGAAGAGGATGTGGATGGACTAGAGAGACAGAAGAAGAAGACGGAGGAAGGTGGCTCGTCAAGATTTCACAATCTTGTGTCTACGTACCCTCATAGTGCAATAAGGAAATCAGAGCCTACGTAGTTCGGGGAACTAACACTGAGAAAGAAAAGAAAGAAAAAAGGAACAACGTCAAAGCCAAGAGCTAAAAGGGGAAAGCAAGACCCTACTGGGAAATGCAAGAGGAATGATGTCAAAACCAAGAAAGAAAGGCAAAGGAAAACTCGGCAGAGGAAAGAAGAAGTAAGGTAAGAACTCTGCTGAGGAATGCAGAAGAAAAGAGATGACTCCACTGGGGAGAAGACGAAAGAACAGCGACGCGACCGGGGAAGAAAAGAGTAAAGGATAAAAATCCAAATAAAGGTAAGGTCCACAGGGGACTTGGTGCATTAACTAGTAAGCATTGATTAACCGACGAAAGATAAGAGTAAAACTTTGTGGGGAGAGCAAAAATATTGGTGTCAACAGATGGACTGCGACGAACCAGGAGAAAGAGAGTATTGAACCAAAGGGAGGTGTTTGACTCTGAAGGGAAATTGGTATATTAAGTGATAAATATTGGTTAATCGGAAGGAGAAAGAAACTGGTTTTAACCGATAAACGGTGATTATCCAACAGACGGGTGTGGAACTAAGCAAAGGTTGTGACCCAAAGAACAGGTGTGAAACCGAGCGAAGGTTGTGACCTAAAGAATGGTACACTGACTGAACAAACAACA